AAAATATTAATGCAATTATAAAAACTTATTTATTCACGTGTTCCTGTAACATATTATATTTCTATACCATATATCAATGGTCTACGTTGAATAGTCTGAAAAAAATCTTTGACAAAAAGACATAAAAAACTAACAGTGATCGAATTTTACCAAATTTAGAAAGGTACAACATTTATTAATATTGCAAAATAAACCCCACGCGAGAGAAGCCGTGGGTAAAAAGCTTGTTTTCAATATACTAGTAGAATAATATATTTATAAACAGTGCCTAGTTTGAAGTGAGATTAGTCAGTTAAGTCCCTTTTCCTTGAGAACGAAGTATCAAGAGGTTACTTCATCTGTAACGCTCCATCTAATTATCTCTTCATATAATGGATTGAAGGAACGTATAAAGGCACGGAACACGGGTCTTTGAAATGAAAGACTAATGGTTCGGTTGGTATTCGACCTTATTGGATGGCCGTCCTTTCTCTCGAAACTCCGTAGTAAAGCGTTGAAATTCTAATACAATACTGTATACCTTAATAATATTGTATAAGGATTTCAACGGAACCTTTTACCTGTTTTGAAAATTAGTGCTTCTTTTGGAATAAGTTTCTTTTTATGGGATAGAAGGCAAACGAGCATGCGGCTCACCTAATGGTAAGTGATCACCGTCGCCCATGAACGTCTGCACCGGGGTATGGCCAGTGCGTAGCTGGCCTTTTAGAAAGCAGGAGCTCTTTTCTTAAACGTCCCTAAGTCGTATGGTCTGGAAGAACTACCGTCGATACTAAATTCCATAGTGTGTGAGTGCTCGTAAATAAAATGCGATTTTTATTCTTACACCTTTTTCATAATTTAATTAATTTAAAATTTAAGAACCCCCTCAAATGACTTCAACTGTCCAGTTATACCTCAGTTATTAGACATCCTGTATACAAATTTAATGAAAATCTATATAAATAAATAAAATTGAAGTGTATATTTGTACAAAATATATATGAAAGTATATATGATCATTATAATTTCTTATATTTATGAGAACAATACATATTGATTAAAACTACTTTTGCGGATTATAGTTGACCTTTATGTTTTCCTATATATTCCACATACACAAGAGACCACATTTACAATCAAGCTTGTACACTCTTGCACCTTGTATATTGACAATTGACGGATGGTAGGAACTAACAAATCTTCTTCGACGACTTGCAGAATGTTCTAATACCTATGGTGTTGTTAGGATTTCGGATGGCTAACACGTCTAGGAAGGGTAAGGAATTATTTGCCTCTAACTCCATAGTAAATTTAATTGCAGAGTTTATGGAATTGAGTTGTTCTAAAAATGCAGTTACTTTGCCTGATGGTAAAATTTTTAAAGTATTGTTTAGGCATAGGTGTAACATGTACGTTACACAGCACAGTTTGGTCGCAGCGTATCGCAATTGATCTTTTAAAACCTATTATCTAATTTTATTGTAGCCCAGATATCCTATTAATCATCGCGCAAGGCAGAGTCTATGTTCGCAAGCGTTTCGCAATTTTGGCACTGCTGCTTTTCGCCGATCTGGATACTATATGTAAGTGAACTCATCATTTCGTTTTGTCCAGAGGTAATCATAAAAGATGACTATAGGATATGCTAGAAGGGTGGATAGTATAAGCTATGTAAACCAAGTACAATTCTGTCCTAATACGTACGTACACCAACGCTAATATTACAAACACAGAAACTTAAAATAATTACACAAAAAAGGATTTTTTTTTTATAGAAGAAGGGGCAAACGAGCATGCGACTCACCTGATGTTAAGTGACTACCGCCGCCCATGATCAACCGCAACACCAGGAGAATTGCGGGTGCGTTGCCGGCCCTTTAGAAAGGAGTAAGCTCTTTTCTTGAAGGTCCCCAGGTCGTATCGGTCCGGAAAAATCGCCGGTGGTAAACTATTCCACAGAGAGGTTGTACGTGGAAGAAAACTCCTTGTAAAACGTACAGTGGTGGACCGCCAAGCATCCAGATGGTGTGGATGGTATCGGGACGTTTGACGTGTAGTGCGTTCACGAAATTTGGCGGCTGGGATTAATCCGAACAATTCCTCAGAGCACTCCCCGTGATAGATGCGATAAAATACGCAAAGAGATGCAACATCTCTTCGCAGCGCCAGTGAATCGAGCCGATCGGAAAGCACTCGGTCGTCGACGATTCGAGCCGCTCTGCGCTGGATGCGGTCAAGTGAAAGAAGCTGGTACTGGGGAGCCCCAGCCCAGAGATGGGAACAGTATTCCATGTGCGGCCGAACCTGCGCCTTATAAAGTTGCAGGCGGTGGTCCCGCTCTGCTGCGCACGCCAAGCTTTTTATATTAAGTATATTTTAAGTCTGTACGGTCGATGTCTCCAGAGAGTTGCAGCGCTAAGTGTCGCGGGTTGGAATCCCGCACGGAAAATATTTTTACGACCAAAAATATTTGTTCCAGATATGGATGTTTGTTCTTAAGTAATTTATGTTTGTAAACTGTGTGTAAACTTCACGATACAGGAGAAAATATTAGTGTAGGAAAAACTTTGTTTAATAATAAGCAATAAAAAAATTGAAAACTAATCTAGTTTCTGTGATGTTTGTGCTGTTAGCCTTTTAGCTTTTACAGCTTTATCGGTCTCAGGGCTCGCAGCCTGAAAGGCCGTAAGATAAAAATAAAAAGGGTAAATTTAAGTCATTCTGTGTCGTTACTTGCGTAACGATGTTCACCTACGTCAGTTGAAAGTGCAAATGAGTTATCTAACGGCCGTCCGACCAGGAGGTGGCGGGCCCTCGGCTCTGACGGAATGTTTTGGGCGTGAGGTGTGGAGGAGTGTGCGGACTCGCTGCGTCCCATCCGATGTACTAATTGTGTTTGTTGCACTAGGTGAGTGTGTAGTGTTCGTGTATGACTTCGGACACGGGGGCGTCCTTTGCGCAGGTTTAGTTGGCGGCCGTGGAAGAAGGTGCGCCATGTGTTCTGGTGCGCCTTACCTGGGTAGGATAACGGGGAGGAGTAATCCTCTCCCGAGGAGGTGCTCCCGGTGCTGGTAATATTTTAAATCAAAATAAAAACACAGTAAATTAATTGCGTTGCGGAAAAGCTACACTGTGTCACATCATGATAGGCAGCGTTGCAGTTGGCCCACTTACTACATCTATTTCGATGTTTTTTGTATTTACTTCTAACAATTTAAAATATTTTATGGATATTTTATAACGTGAAATCGTTATCGAGAAATATTTAGCTGTCAAAAAGAGATTTTTTCAATTATTTGATTATATGTTTTTGGTCGTTTGTTTGTCTATATGTTACGCAATATCTTCGTCCGTACTGATTTGGATGATTCCTTTTTCATTAATAGGTAATACTTTGAGGGTAGACTCTTATAAACTGGAGAAAAAATTGCACCTTACTACTAGAGAAAAAATTTATGTAACTATATGGATAACATTGTTATTCATACAGTTACATGTATATTCCCAAACCTCCTCAAAAATATTTAAAAAATATTACTTTTAATAAAAAGTAAAAGCCGACATGAAAAAATAATTTCACGTTTTGCAGTAAGGAACTTAATAATTACGTCTTAGATAGTAATTTTAACGTACATATATTGCCAAGAAGATTAAGAAATATATATTCACACAATAGCTATCAAGGACCGTACACGGAACATGGGATCGATTCGTCATAGCATAATCTCAATATAGTTGTGCTATTAATCAAAATGCATAACAGACATCGGACAGCGTACATGACAAATGCCACCCGCAACCGCATCTTGTTCTATGTAAAACCCTATCCGGTGGCGACATTGTTTTATATACTTACCTATTTAACAATTTTGTTAGCTAAATAAAATATATAAATGAAATTTAAGTGTCAGTCTAAAATATTGAAATAGTTAATTGCCAGAATCAGGGCAAGGCCAGCTGCCTTACCCAATCAGATTACCTTGCGTAAATCCATTACATTGAGTTTGAAAAAGCGACAATCGATGGGAATAAATATCCTTGAGTTACAGCCTTGCAAATCGTACTGAATGAAGTATAGGGCAGGCTCCCACTAGATGCATCGATGATCAGCAGCATGCAGGTGACATTGCTCTGTGGCATTCCGTAGGAGAGACCTATGATCAACAGTTAACTTGTGATGGGCTGAAATAATGATGATCATATGTGATCACAGATGATGATCATATGTGATAATTTACCGAGAGGAGACGGCGTTAGTAAATCCATCTCCCGATTTCCGGCTCAGACGGCGGAATTGGCTTCTAAGGGCCGTGGGTTTGAATCCCGCACGGAGCAGGTATTTGTTTAGCCTTAAATTAATTGTTCCGATTCTGTCAGTTTGTTTATTCGTATTAAATCCTTGTGTGGAGGTATCGTTTTTATAAATTAAATAATAAATAAAGAGACTTTATTCGTGGGTATCGGCGTAACAGGTAACTTTAGAAAATACTAGGAAAATGTGGCTTCTTTTAAATGGCGAACAACCATCTCGCTTATGCTAGACGCAAAGCACCCAGGCCGGCAACGAACAGCATCTAAGATACGAGGAGTTTCGTACTGCGATCGACAGTCCGTATGTTAAGGGTGACAATTGAAGTGTGGCTGTGCTGTCGTCGTGCGCACCCAAACCTAAATAACACTATCAAAGTTCCGAAGTACTGCGGTGTGTATAGAATAGTTATGAACTACTGTACTACACGGAGATTGGCCGCTTCCGGACTGATTATTTTGGCCGACGGGAAACCTTCCTTTTACATTCTACTACCAATGAGGCAAGTACTCCGTACAACGGGAAAGGCCAATGTCTATAATTGGACTTTTAAGGGCTGATGTAGTAGATGTAGGTATTTTATCTTACTGGCTTACCTAATGCTGTGTTTACCATCACTGGCCATTTCATGTTATTTCCTAAAACTTAAAACCGCGGGGTCACGTGTGCTCGTTCTCATGCAATATCAATTGCCAAATATTTTAACAAGATGATACTGAGGCCGAAGGTACGGGAAGGATCTAGTATTCCGCTCATCTCACTCACTAACATATTGGATACGTGAATATGTATCTGATTTTACACTTACACAAAGGTAAATGCAGATCTCTCATGGCCTTTGACAGATGGAGGTAAACAATCAAATTTTCTCCAGATCTACAATACCTGTGAAGCTTTAGATAAATAATTTAAATTATAACGATCAATTATAATAAATAAACTTATATCTTTCATCGCAACCTAGTGGCTAATAACATTATATCGATTTGCACTGTATAAAATATCTAACTTCGTGTTATACAATATTTTTGTACTTGGAATAACTCTAAATAAATGCTAAGTCACCTTCTCTCACAAGTATAAATATTTAAGCATTTCTATTTCAAGCCTCAGATCAACAAAGAAAGTCTGAACGGTATATACATTTCAAATGACGCCGAAACCATGTTCAGCTTATTCTAAGAACACAAACTTAAGCACACAAATTAATTGCAACTTACAAAATGGTTTTAGATGAATAAACATTCGTAATTATCCTATACTATTAAACGAGCAATTCTTGTATATATATAATCGGGATCTCGGAAACGGCTCCAACGATTTTCATAAAATTTAGTGTCCGGGGAGTTTCGGCTATAATAAATCGATCTAGCTAAGATTTATTTTTATAAAATGTATTTTTGTCCGTGTTTTTAGGCAATGAACAACTGCTACAATATCGTTAGAATAAGAAGGTAAATTTTGACAGATTGTTGATGATTATAAATTGCTTAATTGGTATAATGGGCGGTCACAGAATTGTAAAACCCCGGATCGAGCCCAGACCGACCGACCGACTTTTTTAATTTTTTTTTCAAGTTCCTTTCTTTTTTTGAGAAAATCTATTTTTTCGAGCCCTTTTTTTTAGTATTTTTTAAAAACACGAAAATTTAAATTAAAATAATTGCACTCATGATTTTTTATTCAAATAACCAGTTCCGTTTTTTCTGTTATGTCGCTAAGATCAAAAAATATTATTTATATTTCATCAGTACGTAATTTGTATCTAAATATAATTTCCAAAATACACGAATTAAAAAAACCGAGCGAAAAATACCGAGCAAAGCTCGGTCAACCGGGTACTTAATAAATATATGTCAAAAGTCTAATTTCACGTCAATCAAAATGAATGTAGTCAATCCTTCTTTATGTGTGATCTAGTTATCTGTTAGCTCTACAATTTAAGCTATCGTGTGATATCATCATCATCATCATCATTACAGCCCTTCACAAGTCCACTGCTGAACATAGGCCTCAATTTCGTTGTGTGATATCAAGTTGCTTGAACTGGCAGTGAAAGAATATCAACTACCTTATCGTCGTGTGGGTGTTGTAACAGGCGACCCAGGGAAATAAACCAAGAGGCAGCAGCGTCATAGCAACTTTAACAAGAAAAACTGCGGTTTCCAACCCGCCAAATAAGCGTTAAAACTATAGAAAATATCCAATTATGATGCAGTCTACGTTCAACTGTGGACTTCTATAGACTTGTATGAATGACAAAGTGTTTCTTTGTTCCAGGTTTCATGGATCAGACATAGGGACCTGCATATCCTGACAGTCGGTGGCTACACGTACACATCCGACCAGCGGTTCCAGGCAACGCATTCACCTCAGACCGATGACTGGACTCTGCATATCAAGTGGGCACAGCAACGGGACGCAGGAGTTTACGAGTGCCAAGTGTCCACCCAGCCCGTGCGTTCCTTCTTCGTCACACTGCACGTTGTTGGTAAGTTGATGATTTAAGTGGTAATAGAAAACTTAAATAGAAATCTTTATCTTGGATACGAGTATGTCCTCTGCCTTTTTTACAAAATGAGCATCACAAACGAGTACAAAGACACCACTTGTGATAAGTGGATGCTATAGCTCTCTACATATCTCCTATATTAAGAATTTAAAATGTAAATGAGTTGTCACTCATAAAGCCTAAGATAGAATGACTCATAAACAGTAAAATAAATCTCCTGTGCTCTAGAAAATCTTAATAAAAATCCGTTTCTTGGATACGAGAAAGTATTAAACAAATGAAAGTGTTCTACATTTTTAATAGAAAATGGATGACAAACGACCACAAAGACCACCTGATTGTAAGTGAATGCTACGGCCATAGTCATCTACACCTCTCTTCAATTAAGTATAACCAATCAAAATATAATATATTAGATATTGCGCTTAGTGCTCTACACTCATCACAAGAACTATAGTATGCTGCTATTTTACACTGTTGTTTTGTGAGAGCATCATCCCCACGCAGTCGAGCCAACCCATTCACGCTGCAACCATTATAATATAGCTGCAGTATGTTTCTACCACATACATCTAGTTACCTGCCTGTACATTTTTAAAATTTCAATACTTGAACAGGGAGTGTGATGTCTTAACTAATTTGTCATTTTGCTGAATAAAATGTCGTTTCTTCAAACTGATGATATAACGCATCATCGTCATCATCTTTACTGCTCTTTAAAATTCCACTGCTGATCATGAGTCACTCTCAAGGAATGCTACAAAGCACCGTCTTGAGTCAACTATATCTTACGACTTCCTACGTGACGAAGTCGTTTTTCAATGTAGTGCAGGGCACCCTACACTTTGCTTACGGGTTAATGAAGATATCCAAAGATAGCAAAAGAACCAGAGTAAGTGGCAATGGGCCGGCCATATAGCTCGGATAAAGGTCTTAGAGGAATAGCCTAGTACACTGTAAGCGAAGTATAGGCTGTTCCCCACTACATTATATAAACACTTAGATAAATAAAATAAAAAATAAATGAAAATAGATATTATTATTAAATGTTTAGATGGAATTTGAGCAAAAGTATATTCTGTATTTGTACATAGTACATACATCAGGTCCTTTGAATATATTTTATCCTTTCTACAGATTGTGACGAGATTTATCAGAGGATGTTTTCCGACGCAGGTCTGTTTGTGTGACTGTGTGACCTTAACCGTTGTTTCGAGTTGACTAACAAATTGTATTTTAAAATTATAAAATGTGATAATGTTTTAGGGTTAAATATTTAAAAAACTGTTTCTAATAAAGTTGTACAGTAGGTCTACTTGAAACGCTATGTCACGTTAATAATATTATTATGCAAATGCAGTGTAACTACTATCCTAAAATTAATTTTGTAGGCAGAAGTTTCATGTAAATGTAAATTGTAACTTGATACAATTGCACGGTTCCTACCTGGATGGTCTGAAAAGTTTCCAACCTCAACGTGAAGATGGCAGCACTAGTCAATAAAAACCAATGAATGTAGTTGTGCAACTTTTGCCAGCTACGCACCAAAATTTCAGCCGTTTTGGAATCTTAGTCGTTATTTGACTGTCGATGTGAGTGTCCTTATGAAAATAGAAAGAATTAGATATCGAAATGTCATTAATTTTTTGTTTTTGAAAGGCAATACGCCTACGCAAATCAAAGATGAGTGAGATTCTGTATATGGAGACTCTATACCATCATTTTATACAGGGACATTTTAGGCAGCTGAATTTAAACGCGTGCCTGAGAGCTTGGGGGACGACAAACATTCGGGACATCCAAAAACTGCATCTACTGAAGATAATATCGCTAAAGTCCACCAAATGGTTCTAGACGACCGCCGAATTAGAATGAGAGAGATAGTAGAGGCTATGAAAATGTTCAAAAAACATGTATGTTACATATTAAATCAATATTTAGGCATGTGAAAGCTATCAGTGCGTTAGGTGTCATGTTTGGTCACACCAGACCGAAAACGTCTTCAAATGAACATTTCCAACGCTCTATTAGTGCAGTTTAGACATAACAAATCCAACTTTTGGCGCCAATTAATTACAATAGAAGAAACTTGGATACACTATTATACGCCCGAAAAAAATGCAGTGGACTGCAAAGACGGAAATCGGGTCTAAAAAAAGCAAAACTGTTTTCACGGCTGCTAAAGTGTGTGTGTGCTTAAGTGTGGCGATGGTTTTTTTTGAAATAGTCATGGAGTTATCCTGATCGATTGCCTTCAAAAAGGAAAAACCATCACAAGAGCTTACTATGCATCATTACTTGACATAATGAAGACAGAAATTGCAAGCCGTCTCACACCTCAGTGGTTACCATGGCGAAAATCCACGAATCACGATTTGGAACAACTTGACCATCCGTCTTACTCACCAGACAAATTACGCTCGGAGGACAAAGAGTTTCGTCAAATGACGGGGCAATCAACTTCGTGAACAATTATTTTGCAGGGAAAAACGCCGAGTAGATACAATTTGGAAGGGTTAGATACATGTGAGCTCCATGAAAGAAGAGTGTAGAGTTACAAGGAGACTATGTAGAAAAATAAAAAGAAATTTTAAGAAAAAATGTCGTGTATCTTTGTTAGGTCAGAAACTTTTCACACCACCCAAGTATAATCTCGAGAAAAACTTAATATATAATAACAAAGACTGTTCGGACTAATCTTAGCAATAGTTCAACAGTTTGAAATGAAAATTCATGCACAGATATATCCGAAAAACATGGAGCTTTTATTTCTGAAAATCGGCAAAAATGGATTAAGCAAATAGTGTTTATTTATGTTAAATCTAAATAACTCCACATAAATAAAATCTGCACAGGGAAGTCTAGTTAGTAAATATTTTGAAATCTGTTAACTTAGTCGTTAGTCGCAACCAACAATTCCGTCTACTGACAAAATTATTCAACATTGCAGTAATAATCGTAATAACAACACCTTATCAATAAAATACTTCTGCATGGATGTTATATCTGCTCTACGCAGACTTTTGTTTCTTAACATTGATTAATACCACACTTTTCTTCTCCTATACTAAGTTAACATCGTAAAGATTACCGCTAGTTATTATAATGAATACGGGAAAACGCCTTACTAACAAATATTACTGCTTTTGCTATAAACTGGTTTAAAGAAATTAGTTTTAAGAATAAAACTCTGAGTGAAATATGATACTTGACGTAAATGGCTGTCTAGAATTAAATTCCAGATAGCTTCATAGTATTCAATATATGTACAGTATTAACCTGCAACTGTTAATTCATCCTATCAATTTCATCTTCTTTTTAGTGCCATCGGCTCGGATATTAGGTGGGCCAGATTTACACGTGGATATCGGCTCCACTATAAACTTGACCTGTCTAATCCAGTTCAGCCCTGAACCTCCCGCCTATATATTCTGGTATCACGAGGACGAGGTGAGCGGACGCAAAGTAATTATTCACTCTTTCCATTATTATTACTAGTTTTAAGTTTAGTGTTAAGGTATAGATATTTATTTAAAAATTTTACTCTAACTTTAAAGTTTACAAAGGATGCCAGGAGCATATAATGCACCTGATGTTAAAAATGTTGTGACCAATAGGCACCCTCTGATCTCGATTAAGATTCAAATTATTTGCGCGTTATCACCCCTGAGGTCTAGAATAAAACGCTTCATTACCAGAAAAGATTAAGATGGATGTTAAGAAACGCAGCAGCAAAATGCTCATTATGCTGCCTTTTTAGACTGGTTTTTGGGTAAGAACGGTTCTACCCCGGTCATGTCGATTCATTTGTGCTGCAGCCATAATACGATGCAGCGTAACTCTACCACTCCATAATGATAAAAAGTGATATACAATAATAATTATTATCTTACGAGGAAACGCAGACAGCGTTCTTTATTTAAATTGACGCGGTGCATAGATCGTATCCATCCAAGGGAGCAAATCCTTCTCTTGGGCGACTTTAATGCCCGAGTAGGACGAGATTATGACGCCTGGCCTAAAGTTCTTGGCAGACATGGTGTTGGTAAAATGAACAGCAGCGGCCAACTGTTGCTTAGTTTTTGTGCACAATTAGATCTTGCAATTAAAAATACTATGTTCAGATTACCTGCCAAGTACAAGACAACGTGGATTCACCCCAGGTCGAAGCATTGGCACCTTATCGATTACGCTATCATGCGTCAAAAAGACATCTCTCAAGTCCCAGTCACCCGTGGTATGCGTGGTGCTCACTGTTGGACTGATCACAGGCTTATTATTATTAAATTAAATATTCGTCTGCCACGTCCTTGTAGATCTGAAAGATCTAAACAGATACGTCTGAACCTTGAACGACTTCAAGATACTAACATGAGGGCTAAATATGCCGAAACCTTGAGCACTGCTCTGCAGCCCCTCGACCTAAAATCAGGTGAGATCAATACTGTCTGGGAGTCTCTATCTTCTCATGTTCTCGACACTGCTAAATCTACTTTAGGTTTGAGAGTTCGAAAACATGAGGACTGGTTTGATGATAATGATGGGGTACTTACGGATGCTATTGATAAACACCGTAGGCTCCTAAAGCAGCACAGTAGAACTCATCAGAGTAGAAGTGTTAAGAAGTTGCGTCATAGTGATCTGGAGCTACGTAAACTCGCAAGACAAGCGAAAGATAAGTGGTGACAGGAGAAGGCTCGTCAGATGCAGTGGCTCGCTCATACCAACGAGCTCGGTGAGTTTTATACTGAGGTGCGACATCTACTCGGTACTTCTTCTATGGCAAAAGTTCCACAGAATTCAACTAGTGGTGAAGCGCTTTTTAAAAGTAGGGAGGAAATACTCGAGCGATGGGCGGAGCATTTTAACGCCCTACTTAACGTGGATCATTTTGTTAGCCTAGACCATGTTCGCTGCCTACTTCAGCAACCTTTCGCCCTCGAGCTCGATGAGCCAGTCTCGCCTGACGAAGGTGCTCTTGTCATGTCAAGCAACAGCAAAATAAACGCGCGGTTGGTGTTGATTTTATACCGGGTGAATTATTGAAGTATGGCGGTGGGGATTTGTATTCGGCGATATGGGAAAAAGAACAAGTTCCTAATACTTTTAAGGTATCCCTCATACGAGCCCTATATAAGGGCAAGGGTGACCGGTCGAACTGCAATTCTTACTTTGTCTACTTTCTGTGCCTTGAAAAATCTTCGCCAGACTTCTATTAAACCGCTTAAGCTCAGGAAACTATCTGAAAGGATTTTGCCGGAATCCCAGTTCGGTTTTCGACCAGACTGTGGTACCTTAGAGGCAATTTTCTCATTGCGTCAACTGCAGGAAAAAGTAGACAACAGGGTCGTAATATGTACCTCTGTGTTGTAGACCTTGAGAAAGCATTCGAAAGTGTACCGCGAGAAGCCCTCTGGATAGTGTTGCGGAAAATTGGATGCACGGAGAAGTTTGTGAGACTTCTGACACTCCTGCATGACGCCATACTGAGCTGCGTCGCAGTAAACGCTGATCAGTCAGAATTTTTCCCCGTTACCTGTGGGTTAAAACAAGGTTGTGTCCTTGCACCACACTTTTCGCGTTATACTTTGCAGTTGTAGTCCAGAAAGTCTTAAAAACTACCCCTGAAAGAATCCGCATTCGTTTCCACAATGATGGAAATCTTTTCAGCTTAGACAGACTTAAGGCCCGTACGAAAGTATCTTACGCATACAGAGATCGTCTACGCAGATGATCTATGTTTTGTGACCCAGCTGGCCTGCAAGCTCGTAACCACCTTTCATGAGTCGTGCCGTAGTTTTGGTCTAAAGATAAGTGTTAAAAAGACGGAAGTGATGTCTTTAGATATCTACGGTCAAGAGACACTGACCATCAACTCGGTGAGGACATACTTAAGCAAATCTATACATTTTATTATCTGGGGAGCACGATAACATCAAAGTTATTTATTCGGTTATTTTCTTTTGGCGTACGGACACGGAAAGTAATTGCACCATTCAACAAATATTTTTTCCCCTGACTGTCCTAGAAGGAGAGTTATGTTACTCGGGTGTAAGTGTATATAGGATAGGAATCTGATCCCTTGTGATATCTTGAAACTGGACTGTAAAGTACGAAGTGTCTTGACTCCTTTCTTCGATGAACGGTTTCTAACATCACGACCAACAAAATATTAACCTAACAGGCTGTCATGTCCCTGTTTAGTGGAAATGACATCATACTATTTACTTGGCGTAACGAATGTCAAATCACTAGAAAATGAAATCACTTTGAGATTCTCAAAAGCAGATTAGCCACGATTAACTATATTCATTGATCAACGTAATGTTAAAGGCGATGTTATGTAATTGAAACATTAAACAGCTGATTTGCTGTTGAGAGTGTTTCTTTGAAGTTGTCAGTAATGATGACTGCCATGATGCTGAAATCAACAGTCGGATCGGTGTCGCTGCTGCGGTATTCGGTAAACTGGATCGCAAGGTCTTTGGTTCACATGACCTAAAGCTGGCTACCAAAATTGACATTTATAAGGCGGTAGTGCTGCCTAACATATTGTACTCTTCAGAGTCATGGACAGTTTACCGCCGTCACATACGGACGCTGGATCACTTCCACTTGCAATGTCTGCGCAAAATTCTCAACATTCGTTGGTCTGATCGCACTCGAAACACGGAAGTGCTGCGTAGAGCCCATACCATGGGGATTGAGGCCTACCTTATGGAGCGACAACTCTGTTGGTGTGAACACTTATCGAGAGTGTCAGACCAGCGTACGGCAAAGTGCATCTTTTTCTATGAACTTGAAAAGGGCAAGCGTAAGCATGGCAACTCCTCAGGTACAAAGATGTACTTAAGCGCCACATGAAGAAGTGCGACATTGAGCCTTTAGAGTGGGAGCAAGCAGACACTCGACGACGACCGGAGTGGAGGTCTATGGTGAAAGCCAAGGTCAAAATGTTTGAGGAGAATCGCTGCTCTGAATTGGATGCCCGACGTGATGAACTCAAAGCACGCCCACCTTGTGCGATTAACTATAATTTCTGTAACGGTGTGTTCACCTGCCCGCATTGCGCGCGAACATTTGTAAATAAGATCGGCTACGTTAGCCATGCGCGAGCACACCAACGACAGGATCGGAGTTGAAGAGGTCGCCGTGGCTGAAATCGGTCGAGGAATTTATTTATATATATATATATATATATATATATATATATATTATATATGTATATATATATTATATATATGTATAATTTATATATTATATATATATATATATATATATATATATATATATATATATATATATATATATATATATATATATATATATTATATAGTATTACATAGTACACGAAAAACTCTAGTAAGATCTCCGCAAGCATCATTGAAATAAATATTAACCCCAAATTTTAAGTATTGATTCATCATGTGCTTGGCAGTAAATAAATAGCATGACGTAAAAGTAAAAGTAAATAAATAAAAAACCTGAACATCGGATATACTAAACTAATGCGGTAACCGTGATGTACATCATTATTACTACCAAAGTCCAATATAAGTCTTCTGCTGAATATAGCCTTCTCCAAGGAATGCCGCAAAATACGGTCCCACTTAGATCCATCTAACTTATGCATCATTTACAAGGTTGACCTTTATCTAGCGGGGGGCCGCCTTTCACATCGTGTCTTTTCTTTTTTTATAGGATTTGGATGACAGATGAGCACAGAGTCCACCTGATTACGAATTAAAATGCAGATGCGTTGTCAGCCGTATGGACTAAGACGGAATGCCTCTTTTACAGTAAAAGGGTCTCCGGTTATCTACACTCCCCATACGAAACACAGCAGCGTTAAGTTGTTATTTTACGCTGGTAGTCTGTGGAAGCGTGGTCTTTCCCCGATTAAGCCGTCCACAGCTAAACTATTAATATAGCTGTAGCATGGCTCTACCTCGTAAAAACACATCACATCTTTTACCATTACGAGGGTGTCACTTCCTTTCTCACACACATACATATTGTAAATGATTATAAAATAATGTACCGCTGCGTTTTTTTTTTTTGCTGGTTTTCTTCCCAAGACAGAGATTTTACTTGTAACCTGTAGAAAAACATAATATATGATTTTTAATAAGTATAACTTGAAATTTAATGTTATAAAATTATTCTATACTATTTTTATTTATTTTATTTTATTTTACTTCAATATAGTTTAAGACAGCCGAAATGCATAGACACAGCTTGTTGCCTTTTGTTTACCCTAAAACTATGAAAAAATTACGCGAGACAAGATTTGGGTTGCGATAAAGAATTAACTTAGCATATTTATTGAGTAAAAGGTAATGAATGATTAGGTTTTTAAAACTTATAATTTTTTAGGATTGTACCGAGCCAATGAATTCGACATACTCGTATACTACTAAACTGGCCATAGTAAATAGCGCGCTAAGTTGGTCTATTCTCCGTTA